ACTTCCCTGCATCATAGATTTTCCTCCCAAATCTTCCTCTCTTTTTTCCCTTACCGTTTCCCTCTCGCTTCTTCAAGAAACGTACGGTATCATTCTATCTCCATCTCTCTTCATTAGTCTGCATATGTGGTTTTTGTTGTTTTGTGTCATGTTCTCTTTCTTTCTCTCAGTTTTATTAAAAGGTATAATGAATAGAGTTGTACATGCATGCAAGTGGGATTGCTTTTTGTTAGTGACGACAAGAAATAACTTTTTTGAATCTGGGTTTTATTTTCCCCCTTTTCTATGTCTGATTCTATTTGTTAGGCGTGATAAACCCGTGTTTACTATCAGAGTCTTGATTCTGTTTTCCATTGTTAAACATATCCAAAGTTCTGGGTTTTTGTGAATCAAGCAAAAAAAAAAGAAAAAAGACGGCTACTTGAATAAACGTACTTAATATTCTTCGAAGTTGAAACTGATATTCATCTTAGTTTGCAATCGTTCGTATGCAGCTTTCTCGCCATCACTAACCGACACATTTATACAATGTTCATTATTAGACTTCACTTTTGGATCCGTCTGCAACTTTGGCTTGATAATATAATAATAAGTTACTAGATTTTCGTTTTTAATTTGACAACAAAACGTTTCCAGTCCAGTTGGACAGAATGGTTTCTTTGCTTTTAGTGAGAAAAACAAGATTTCAAGAATTAAAGAATAGGAATTTCCTACTATTAGCTTCACCTCACTTTTTTTTTTTCTTCCATTTGAAGATATGTATACTCTTCATAGGTATTGTTTTCCTTTTTACAGTCTGTCGAGAATAATATTCCCCGAATATTCAAGCATTAGTTTGAGTTTCACATGTCTTTGTTTCTAACTTATCCGGAATGGTGTTGACTTTTCATGTATTATTATTGGTTTATTAAATAGGAGGAACATTTACTTTCATTTGATCTTATTAGCATAGGGGTATGGTCTCCCTTGTTTGTAATTAATAATTGTTCGATGTATTTATGCTAGGATGTAGTGATCCATTTGGCTAAGAAGCGTAAGAAAAAAGAGAGCTTCGAAATCAGAGAGGGAAATATATTTATTAATTATAAATATTTCTTGAGTTGGTTGTGTAACCAGTGCCTATACTCATTGCCAGGGTAGAATAAGCTTTTGAGTGAGCTTGGTAGCTATGGCAGGTGAGCAATTACAGGTGCTCAATGCTCTTGATGTGGCCAAAACACAATGGTATCATTTCACTGCCATCATCATTGCCGGGATGGGATTCTTCACCGATGCTTATGATCTCTTCTGCATATCCCTCGTCACCAAATTGCTTGGCCGCATATACTATCATGTGGATGGTGCGGAGAAGCCTGGAACTTTGCCTCCCAATGTCTCGGCTGCCGTTAACGGTGTGGCATTATGTGGAACATTAGCAGGCCAGCTCTTCTTTGGATGGCTTGGTGATAAGCTAGGCCGAAAGAGAGTCTATGGTTTGACTCTAATGCTCATGGTCATCTGCTCTGTGGCATCAGGCCTCTCTTTTGGCAGTACCCCAAGATCTGTGATGACAACCCTTTGCTTCTTCCGGTTTTGGCTTGGCTTTGGCATCGGTGGTGACTATCCACTTTCTGCCACAATCATGTCTGAATATGCTAACAAGAAGACCCGCGGAGCTTTCATTGCTGCAGTTTTTGCCATGCAAGGTTTGGAATTTTATCAGGTGGTCTTTTTGCAATTATATTATCCTCTGCTTTCAATGCCGTGTTTGAAGCTCACCCTATGCAGTTGATGCACTTCGCTCCACGGTTCCACAGGCAGACTATGTTTGGCGTATAATTTTGATGGTCGGAGCACTCCCAGCTGCTCTTACCTACTACTGGAGGATGAAGATGCCTGAAACTGCTCGTTACACCGCACTTGTTGCTAAAAATGCAAAGCAGGCTGCATCTGATATGTCAAAGGTCCTGCAGATGGACATTGAGGCTGAGCCAGAAAAGATTGTGCAAATAGAAAAGGCAAAATCCAGATTCGGTTTATTTACTAAGGAGTTTGCTAACGCCATGGACTTCACTTGCTTGGAACCACAAGCACTTGGTTCTTGCTTGATATTGCATACTACAGCCAAAATTTGTTCCAAAAAGATATCTTCAGTGCTATTGGATGGATTCCTCCTGCGAAGACCATGAACGCCATTGAGGAAGTTTTCAGAATTTCAAGGGCACAAACACTAATTGCTCTTTGCAGCACTGTACCAGGCTACTGGTTCACAGTGGCTTTGATTGATAAGATGGGAAGATTTGCCATCCAATTAATGGGCTTTTTCTTCATGACAGTGTTTATGTTTGCACTGGCCATCCCTTACGACCACTGGACACATAGGGACAATCGAATTGGCTTTGTAGTTATGTACTCGTTGACTTTCTTCTTTGCCAATTTCGGACCAAACGCCACCACATTCGTGGTTCCAGCCGAGATATTCCCGGCAAGGTTGAGGTCCACTTGCCATGGCATCTCTGCAGCCTCCGGAAAGCTAGGTGCTATTGTTGGTGCATTTGGGTTCTTGTATTTGGCTCAAAATCAGGATAAATCCAAGGCAGATGCGGGGTACCCTGCTGGTATCGGTGTGAAGAATTCACTTATTGTATTAGGTGTAATCAATGCCTTGGGGTTCCTCTTCACATTCTTGGTGCCAGAATCGAAAGGAAAATCTTTAGAAGAGATGTCAGGCGAGAACGAAGATTGTGAACCACAAGGAGAGGCAGAGCTGTCATCTGCCACAGTTTCTTGAACAAGAACTATTGTAAAAGCTATCCATAGGCTATAGACATGTTAGATGTCAGGTTTCAGTTCAGTGTTTTTCTTTTACATATATAATTGCTTCTAAAAACTCAGTTTATGTTCCTTTAAATTTGAGAGAGAGAATTCCATGGTTTCAGTTCACTATTCTTCCTTGACATGTTATTGCTTGTGAACAACCATCAAAGTTGAGACCCTGAAATCAGGGTCCAGAATTGCGTATTCATTCACTTCAAGTTAACCTCTAATGGTAAATTTTCAAAGTAGTTTGTTACGAGGTGTGCAATTATACGACAAAAGCCCTTTCAAAGTTTTGACTTGTACGTTGCGAATCTTGTCGAGACTTTTGAGTACTAGTTTTAGTGTTCAAAAGCATGTTTCAGAGACAATGAGCACCTTGCTCGGTTCTTGGTGCATTTCGGTTGCTTTGATAACGTTGAGCTAAGGCAACTCATTCGTCTAAACTAAACGCTGCGATTATTCAAGCCAACGAAATTGACTGAAACAAACTGTAGAATTAATGCGTTATGCTTTGAAAATATTGCACACAAGGCTAAAAGGGTTTCGAACCGATATGAGAGGAAAAATAAGAGCAAAGAACCCGGAATAAACAGCACAGATAAATTTTCGTTTTGCTCGAAAATGATTCTGCATATAGCTTTATGAAGCAAGGACTAATCAGGCGTTGCACTAAACGAAGGAATGAATATCCACCGTCCATGGGGTCCCTTTAGATTATTATCAACCACCCAACCTCTTCGTCTTCCAGTCGCAGCATATCAATTTTTCATTATAAAAAGATGTTAAACTACTCTTTAAGTCATCCAACTTTTACGTTTTTATGTTTTAATTACATAACTATAAACTTTTTTTTATATTATCACTGAATTTTTTAATTTTACTTTTTTAGGTCACTCAAAGCGATCGATATTTGTTTGATAGTAACACTAAAATGTTACGTTTTGAAAAATTTTGTTTAAAAAATCAACCTAATATTTTAATATCCTTCTTCCTTATGGTTTGGGGTGTTCATTTTTTGGTTTTAACCGAATTAACCAACTGAACTGAATTAATTCGATTAGTTCGATCGGCCGTCAAATTAGTTCGGTTGGAAAACAGTTAACATTTTTTTCAATATTCGATTAACGGTTAATTAATCGAATTAACCGAACTAACTGAAACTATTAAATAAGAAATATATTATATATATTAAATACGTATTTTAAGCTCAAACTCATTAAGAATTAAAACTCAATTAGTTTTTTAACCACACTAAACTCATTAAATTATCAATACCTAACTAAAATTTTTACCCAAATAAAAAATACTTCTATATTAAAAGTAATATAATTAAAAAAATTATTAAAAAAATTAGGTTAATTCAGTCAATCGACCGAAATAATAGAACTTCGTTCGATTCGGTTAATATATTCAAAACCGGTTAATATATTCAAAAAAAAGTTTTGTTTGATTAATGGTTAAAGAAAAAAAATTTAATTAATTCGGTTAATGAAAATTCAGTTCGACCGGTAAGTGAGTTAACTGTTTGCACACTCTACTTATGGTCGACATTCTTTTCTACACATGTTCAACCAGTGTTGGCCGTTATTTCACTTATTTGCAACATATATGGTACCAAAATGTTTCCTTCTCCCTCTTTAAATTTTCAATTTGGAAATCTCTTCCAAGTTGATAAAACTCATATCAACTTTTTTATATTATCCTGGTATGATATATAGTCTTCGTCGTTTAATCAGTGTGATATTAAGATATATTACCTTTTTATCTCACTCTCAATCTCCTAAAATTTAGATTTTGAAAAAAAAATTTGGTGTCGATCAATTGAACGAAGATAAAAAATTTGAATTTGAAAGTTTCTGCGGTTTACATAAATTTTTTTTTCAAAAATATTAGATGAAATTAATAATTAACGATCGAGTGATCTAAATAAACATAATTAAAAAATTTAATGATTAAATTAAAATCTTTTCTTGACGGATGACGAAAACAGGAACACACTAAAACTTAGATGATTACATAGGTATTTTATCAAAAAAAATCCAAAGCTAACCCAATCCAGTAACCAAACTCAGTCCTAGTTCAGCTCCAATATATTTGGATTGGTCCATCGTGCAAACTTACAAATGGAGCAATACTATTGGCTTGAGGATCTGGATGGTACTGACAAACTGGTGTGGACAATTCGAACCTTTTGACTTCGGAACCCCAAGGGATCCAATTGGAGCCCGACAAAGCTTTCACAATCAAGATTTAGGAGAAGCCCTATTAGGGTTTTTAGGGTTCTAAATAATCTCAGAAGTTCTTTTCGCGCGAAAATATGGATCACAATGGTAGCCGTTACGATCACTTTCTTTTTTTCCGGTAAATGTTTTAATTTTTATTGCTTTTCTTATCAAAGAACTGAAAAATCTTTGTTTCTAGGTCAGAGAGGTCCATCAACACCGTCAGCGATGCTGGCTTCTTTGCTTAGTAGAAGAGCTAAACATCAAGAAGAGCATCGAAATATCGAGAGACAAGTAATTTCATATGTCTTTCCCCAATTTTATTCAAGTTATATTGTATTTTACATCACCGTTTCTGGTTTGAGTGGTAATGGAAAGCTAAATGCAGGTGTATGACATGGAGACGAGTTATTTGCAGGATCCGGGCCAGTGCGGCAATGTTTTGAAAGGTTTTGAGGGGTTCCTCTCTTCATCTAATAAGACACTGCCCTGTATGGAATGCCTGTTTTATCACTTTTCTTTAATTTTATTCTTTATTCATGATATGCCTAGGTAATGTTAAATTTTATGTCATTACATGTTTATGATTACTTAACTAGAAAAACATAATCTCAGACTATAGGTTCTGTTAGATGTATTGCTCAAGTACAGTGCGAATTTTGCAAAATCTTAATGTTCTAAAATTCCATTCCAAGATAGCCTAAAATTCTTTTAGAAGAATTTGATTTTATGCAAATTGTTTATGGATTTGTATGAGTTTTTTTATTGGTGTTGTCTTGCAGCTCGAAGCGATCCCAGAAGTTCCAACCTGAAGATAGGCTATTCTATTATCTTCAGTCTTCTCCTGCAGTGCGTATTCGTCTTAATTAAGTTCCCCTCTGTTTTCCGTTAATTTCTTGTTTGCTCGATATCCACTTCTTTCCATGTCAAATGAACTGAAGTATGAAATTGGTTTCTCCAAACGTTTACACATTGACATAACCTATACTCGCTTCAAGATATGTCTTGTTGCAACCAAAGAATGCGACTATAGACAATGTTGAAATTTGAATTGCCTTTATGTAGAGTTGCATGGAAATTATCTGCGGGTATGATTCTTAATAGGATGAAGATGTTAGAATCTGAATGAGATGGCATTTGCATCTTATCAATCTCATTCTTTTCCCAGTTGTCTTCATTGGTTGGAGGAGGGAAGTTTTCTGTTTCTTTTTTATTCTCATTCACAAGGGTGTCTCATCTTGCATTCAATCATACTTAGTGAATCATTCTAGCATCCAAAGAGAAGCTCATGATCTGAGTGCAGTTTTTTATGCAAAAATCATGATGTCGTTGCCACAAATAAGAGCACCATAATTGGATTCCCTTTTAGGCCAACAGCTTCTTCACACTTCTCAACTGAAAGCATCAAAACTATTATATTTCTGCCTATTATACGGAAATCCTGATAAACTTTCCAAACTTGAACTCAAAAGGGCTGAAGGCCATATCAAAGTGATGAATTTTTCTTTTGCTTGGCACATCAAAAGTCAGATCCTGTTGCATTTTCAATTTTCATACATGCCGCACTTTATTTAAAAAGTGATTGATATTATAATTACTATGACCATATATGTGTGTGAATAACCCTTCATGGATACAGATAGATAGAAGTCTTAGTAAATAGTTGTTTTCTGTTACTATTTATTGACTTTAAATTAGTGGATAGAGAGAGAAAAGGGAAAAGGACTGGTGTTTGTAACTTGTTTTCTCTCAGAATTTTGTTCACCAGGAGGTTTTTCCTGATTTTTTCTTCTGTTGTATTTTGTCAGGCTGAAGAGATTGCTGCTGCTAGAGATGGGGAGCCTGTAATTTGCAGGTTCATCAACAAACTTCTCTTCTTTATGTTTATCGTTTGTTATCCTTCGAGTTTAGTTGATAGGAAATCTGACTGTTGTCCCGGTCGGTCAAAGGATGTTATAGCCTTGGAAACGGCTAATACTCAAGTCATAACAATATAAAACTTATATGTCTGTGTATTCTTTACAGAGGGAAAACCGAAAAGGGGAAGAGGTCGAGAAGCAAAGAGAATGAGACACCCCGGTGAACCAGATTTTGACTATGATGATGATCCCGATGTGACATTGTGAAATCACTCGGATCTAATGCAGTGCTTGTTGGGCTTGCCTTAATATCTTCAAGCTTTAATGCCCATCTTCGTCTCAAAGCAACCAGCGATGAGAAAGGCTATTTACATTATTTTCAAGTATACTGTCGTAACCGTCTTCCGGTTGGGCTCCGAAATTGAGCTTCGACTTGAAAAATATGGATTGGAGTCGCCACTGACCATTTTAAAACGAATTTAGGTGGGTTGGACACTATCTTATCTGATCTGCGTTTTTACCAGAAATGTGTCGGGTTCGGGAGTCGGTTACGGTCAAGGAAGGATTAGCACCCTTGAACCGCTCTTTCGGTACCAATTAATTTCTCTGTTGTCTTAGTTGTGAAAATTCAAAATTAAAATTAAAATTTAACAGACCCGATTTGAATAGTTACCTTTGATCGATTGAAAATATCCCTAAAAAATTAAAAGTATTATAAAAAATATCATAACTATATAATTTTACATCTACCCTAGAAATAATAACGATAAATCACATGTATTATTGATTGAAATCATATACATTACCATGTAAAAAAAATAAAAAATGATATATAAATATATAAATATATATATTATGAAAGGCATAATGCACGGAAGAAGGGAATATGAAATGCACAATGCAAACAACTAACTTGCAAAATAATTATAATAATATATATATAATATGAAATGTACGTACGAAAAATGTTAATATTATATGAAATGCACACTGTACGAAATCAATAATAAAATATGTAAGATGTGTACAATCCTTTAAATGCACACAACACAAAAAAACAATAATGGCCCACTTTGTTATAGTGCAATCGGGAGAGGAGTAAGACATAAGGCTCCCTGGATGCTTGGCAGTCAACTCTCTGAACTCTTTCATGGGTTCAGGCTCCCTCGGGTATACACTGGTCTCCAGCACATACTGGTAAAGATTATCGCTTTGCAAGAGGCTCTTGTGGTCGACTTACTGGTGCCTACCCGCTAAGTCTGACAGCCTTCTTGACCACACCATGAAGATCTGGCTTGAATCACGTCTGATCGGGTTGATATGGTACCTGGTAAGTCTGCCATCATTCAACTTGTCTCTCATACCCATTGACGACATTCCCACACCACTCTTAGTTGTCCTGTATGCAACTCTCATACAGAGGAAGACAAAAGCAGCAACGGCGCCGAGGAAACCAAAAAAAACACTGCTTCATTGCCGTTGAAAGCAGAAATCATTGTGGATCTGGAACGATGACGTTTAGGTTGAAGACCAGGGGAAAACGAGTCAATGACTCCGAGAACTCCCTCTTCGGTTTGGTTCGAGCAGAGATTTATTTCAGAGATTGGGCTTTTGGTCTTTGATGGCGATACTGCTCCCCTCTTGCTTTTTCGATTTGTTTTTTCCGATGGGTTTCGAATCTTACCACCGTTTTTGCTCGGTATTCCTCTTTTGTATCCCCCAGTAATCGTGTATTTGTTTTCTCCTCTTTTTCTTTTTTTTTTCCTCGTGTCTTGATACATGGGTATTTATAGGATTATGTGAATCCTATTTTTTTTAGGAGTTTACATCCTAATGAAATACTAACATTTGGTTCGTTCGTGTTTGTTGGTGACTCTCCACGCTCGTCGGACGGTTCGGGGTTGGAGTCATATTATCTCACGATGCTTGTTACCGAGAAGAATGGGGGAGGCGTGAAACTCGGTCTGTTGGAAGCGTGGGTCCAATGCTGCTTCGGGCCATTTATTCCTTCTTGGGCCACTGGTTTAAGTTGTAGGACACCTTCACTTGGGCCTGTAATATGTAAACAATAAAAGTAAATAACATAATACAATATATATGTAAATATTATAAAAGTGCAGAGACGAAATTATGTGTCTACAGCTGCCCCTCTTTGCTCATTATCGTGTAACGATAATAGAGCAAATTAAAAGACACAATTTCGTCCATTTCGAATATCCTCTGTCGTAGAGTTAAAATTCGATGTTGAGACTGGTGGAAGCTTATGAGCATGATATCTTTCGTCGTGAAGTTGAGATCGAACTCAAAGCTCTTGGCAAGTGGCCTCTGAATTGTCTTCTGGCTCAAGATACCTCGTCGTGAAGGTGAAACTTGACCTGAAGACTTTGGTGTTGTGGTGTTACAGATGACTCCTTCGTCGTGAAGTCGGGTCAATCTGTTTGTGAAGTTGGAATCGTATATAGCCCCTTCGTCGTGAAGTTGAAATCCAAGTAAGTTGTACTGTTCCGAGTCCAATATACTCTGTCGTGAAGCTGAAATTGGTTCTGGAACTGGGAAATTGTTTGTTGACAACCAGCCGTCCCTTCGTTGTGAAGTTGAACTTGTGTTGTCTTGAGTCCAAATCCTTCGTTGTGAAGTTGAAATTGGCTCTGAAATTGGGAAATTGTTTGTTGACAACCAGCCGTCCCTTCGTTGTGAAGTTGAACTTGTGTTGTCTTGAGTCCAATATCATTCGTTGTGAAGTTGAAATTGGCTCTGAAATTGAGAAGTTGTTTGTTGACAACCAGCGGTCCCTTCGTCATGAAGTTGAACTTGCGTTGTCTGGAGTCCAATATCCTTCGATGTGAAGTTGAAATTGGCTCCGAAATTGGGAAATTATTTATTGACAACCAGCGGTCCCTTCGTCGTGAAGTTGAACTTGCGTTGTCTGGAGTCCAATATCTTTCGATGTGAAGTTGAAATTGGCTCTGAAATTGGGAAGTTGTTTGTTGACAACCAGCGGTCCCTTCGTCATGAAGTTGAACTTGCGTTGTCTCGAGTCCAATATCCTTCGCTGTGAAGTTGAAATTGGCTCTGAATTGTTGACAACCAACGGTCCCTTTGTCGTGAAGTTGAGCCTTGACTTGAATATCCTTCGCCGTGAAGTTGAAATCCAAGTATTGTATGTTACGGGTGGACACGATTCCCTTCGCCGTGAAGTTAAAACCATGGAGACCCCTTTATTGTGAAGTTTGGCTTCGAGCTAGATATCATTCGTCGTGAAGTTGAAATCTACTCTCGAGCAAATTGTGTTGTTTCGAGAGAAACTATCTCAAGGGAGACAACATTTGTTTCAAGAGAAACTGTCTCAAGGGAGACAAAACTTAGTTCCAAAAGAAACTATCTCAAAAAGTCTACGTCCATACTTAGCTATCCACACTAAGGATTTTCCAACAAATTCACTATTTGTTCTTTCTTTGAGGCCAAAGAGATAACCTTACAATTCCTCAAGAGTACCCCAACTCTTGAGAACACTCTTTTCTCAAGAGAAGATTACAAATTTGCAAACTTACAAGAAAACCTCAAGGTAAGAGTTTGCACAATTCTAGAACAAAGAAAAGAACACTCAAAGATGAATACAATTGAGCACAAAAGTTGTTCTTGAAAGCAAATGAATATGAATGAAAATGGGCTTGAAATGCTCAAACTTGAGGTTTGATGCTTTCTCTTTGACTCTCTCTTGATTCTAGTTGCTTGATGTTTCTTGTTATTGATCAATGTCTTCTAAGCTTGCTTAAATACACCTTGAATCACTCTGAACGTTGGGGATAATTAGAGAAGATTTATAGCCGTTTTAGTGTGAAACATTAATAAAACAGCTTGGACAGTGGGGGAATCGGTTCCCTATCATGGGGAATCGGTTCCTAAGTGTAAAATTCAAATATTCGACCGTTGAACAGGGGGGAATCGGTACCCTTGGGGGGGAATCGGTTCCCTCCGAGCATTCTGGAAATCTCGGAGCCAAAACCATTCAGGGGGGAATCGGTCCTCTATGGGGGGGAATCGGTTCCCTCTGAGTAATCTGGAATTTTGGCTTTGAATTGGTTCGAAATACTTTATAAAATTTTTTGAAATTGTTTTATGAAACTTAATTTTACATTAAGAAGGATCAAAAAGATGCATGTAACATGAATTGGTTATTTTATCTCCTGAAAAAGGCCTGATAATTCACATTAGGATGTTGAATCCCCAAGGATGCCCCAATATCCAAAAATGCCCCAATATTTGATGTTGAATCTTCAAAGATGCCCCCAAATGTTCCGCATTTATTGCTTCAGCATTGATTCTGGGCATAAGTTTTGTGTCTAAGAGTCACATGTCATTTACCAAGATCCACTCTAGAGAGACTGTCTTGTTTGAAAAAAATGTTTTTCTTTCTCTTTTATTTTCAAAGTTCTGAAAATATCCATTAAAAGAGTTTAATCAAAAGTTTTGAAAATATTGCCCCTTTCTCGGTTTCGTAATTGAGACGAATCATAAAACTAGAGTTCATTGGATATCAAAGAATTAATTACAATGTTAATCCTTCAATAAATTATAGCTATTTGACAAGTGTCAAGATCAAAGCTATCTTTGGGAGATGGTCAAGTAAGGAAAGAATAAAAAGTCTCAGGTTATCGCGTTTGATCAAAGGTTTGGCATTTGATGCTCAAAGGTTTGGTGTTTGATGCTCCAAGGATTGATGGGGTAGCTTGCATGCTTCTCTGCTGGAAGTGTTCTCTGACTCCCAACCTTCGTTGTCACACTCGGATTGTGCGATGCCTTATCAAGGAATTTGTGTGATCGACTCAGTTGCACAATTTTTATATTCGAGCCGCCTTTTCAGGTTTTCAACTCGAACCCTCCTTTGGTTTCAAGACGTTATTCAGAATTTACGTCTTGAACCCCCCTTTGTTATTTTATCTATCATACATTAATTACATGTTTTTTGCAAACAAAGATTAATCCTGATGGGTGGGATGAAATCTGAAGATAGTCTCTTCTGTTTAGAAATCCATGTATGATTAAAAGGGACTTTTAAGGCACGTAATGTAGGTCAGGGTTCGTGGTTATGAAAGAAAATAGGCCCAAACAATTGTTTCAGAGTGTTGAACCAAGGATCAATTCATTCTGATGCCTTCAATCATGTCTTGCTCAATTTGGATCTATTCATATGTGTTTCTCTAGATTTTCTCTGGATGTTCCATGATCTTCGAGTGAAGTGATTCAGAGATTCGAGAATGATTGTGCTTGATCAATCTCATAGTTGAAGCTTGATGTGCCATTTGTCTTTAGGGAATATTTGCATGTGCTTTTTGTCCCTTTTTCTTTCGAATTTTGTTCTTTCTTTTTGTTCTTTTGGTTTTTTTCCTTTTTTGCTTCTTTTCTTTTTTCTTTTTGCCCTTTTTGTTCTGATTGAATCTTCGCACTTGGCGTTTGGTTCAACTTTCAGTATCTCATCTGAATCAATGTCTTCACTTATGCGAGCATATTTTCTCCACCTTGCCTCCAGTGTGGAGGGTGATCCTTGGTTAGGGTTGAATTAGAACAAAATACTATAGGCTCAAAAGGGGACACAAGGGATATATATTTTCTCCTGTTATGAATGGGTAAAGAAAGAAAGCCGTTCATCATTTCATATATGTAAGTCTTCACAGAAGAGGTATCCCCAGGGGGATAGATTTTCAGGATTAATTATATTCACATGAAAACAGTGCAATTAATGCATGATAGAATTATTTCGAATGAATTATTTTTTCTGCTTCTTGCTCCCAACATGTCTCAATGTTCAGGCTCCAGCGAGATGCCCCAAGTTGCGTCTTAGAAGAATGCTCATGTTCAAATGAACAACTCAATGCCTTGGGTATTAAAATGTCAATTTTGAGTCTAAAAAGACAATGATGTGACTTTATTTGACTCAAAGAAAGGTATGGGTGTATCAAGAAGATAAAGGCAATGTTCAAGAATTTCAAAGGGAGGTAATGTCAAAATTTGGTCTTTTTGGCAATGATCAAGGTATTCCATTTTGGGGGTTTGAGACAGGATAAGAAAGGTCTAATCTTGTCATATGTCAAAAATCTATAATTCTTGAAGAATTAAAAGAATCCTTAATTCATTTAATATTCGAATAAATAAAGATTAAAATTTGTTCAATTGCTCCACCTTAGAAAGTAGCATAACTTCAATTGTTTAACATGAAAGATTAGAGGCGTGTTCAAACAAAACAATCTTCTAAGTGCAAATGGTATATGACATGCCCCCTTCTTCGATTGTTCATGCCCCTGAATCCATCAGAGTTTGGATCTTGCACTTCAGTGCCTTACAATTTTCAGAGGAATGTTTGGGGATCCTTATGTGGCAACAGCTTCAACATTGTAGCCCTTAGGAGATGGGTACTCTTTTCTCATATCATCCTGGCAGGCTTAGTCCTATAATCAGCTGATCCAACTCCCCCTGTACTGATTTCAGTTTTTCTTTAATTGTTAAAATCTTGCTTCCATGTGGTGTAATGTGGTTAAGACCACTTCATCCTCCGTGATTTAATTTAATGTTTATGAAAATGCTTAAAAATGTAGATGAAGATGCAAAAATGCAAGAATGCAAGAATGCATGAAATGTTCGAGGCATTGATCCAAGAAATGTGATTGTTATTATGAATAATCCTTATTGGGGACAAAAATGTTTTATCTTTTAAGAGACAAAAATATCATGACAACTTCTGACATGTTGACTAGTCTTCTGCTTTTGTCTTTCACCGGTTGAATAACCTGTCGAACCGCTCCGGCCTCTCTGGATGAACCGTGAAAATGTTGAGTTGTTTTTTGTACTGGTCCCAGAAGTCTCGAATGATCGTATCTCGAGCATTTACTTTTGTTGAGCCTGTTTCCAACGAATTCGTCATTGGAGCCCTTAATTGATAGGAACTATGTGAAGTTCATTAATCTGTTTCTTGAATTCGCCAGCAATGGTCTCCAATTTCAGTTATCATTTTGCCATTGTCGTGTCCAAAGGGACTTCCAAGATACATAACCTTCATCTTGCCCCTGCAACCTCTGCCAGTCAATTCTTCAAAGATAAGCTTTCATTGTGCTTGATGTAGACCCGGTTCATTCTGAGTCCTTTATAATGCAGGAGAGTGATATACTCTTCAATTGGGACACCACGTCTTTTGGATTGAATGTGACATAGTCGCCTTGTAGACTATCCTCTGTATTTTCATCTCTTGTATTACAACACCTTTGTCAATGGATTCAGATTATTCGAGTTTTAACAAACATGTTTTAGTGGATCAATGACCTCTTTCGAATGATGCAAGTGATGAAAATAAAATAAAATAAAATAAAGATAAAAAGAGTTAGTGAGGTGAAAAATAATAAAAAACGATCATAAAAATGAAAGTCCTATCCCACATAATATCTACCCCACATGCTTATTATTCCTACCCGAACATGATCTCTATCCCGCAAGTTGATTTTGAACAAGTCCTAACCGCAGAAATTTCTAGTTCACATGCTTTGAACAGAAAGTAAAGTAGGAAATAATTCTGGTATCCTAGGGTTTGGAATGAGGTTTTGGGGTGGGCTCTAACTCCTTGCAGTCTCCCGGTTTTGGTTCTAAAAAGGTACCCGAGTTATCCTTGCCGGTGCCCCCTTGGGCTTACCAGACCTTTAGTCCTAAGCCCATTACAAGCTTATGTGGACTAAGTTAAACTCGGGAGGATACATTCCCTTATGCCCATACAGAGAATAAATTCACACGAAGGCACAAGGTATATGAATCCCGAAGGTTACTTGCTAGGCTCATATGGAGAATAAATTCACACGAAGGCGTCGCTTTCACCCCCACTTAAATAGGGTTCAGAGCTCGGGCATAGAGCCTTTAGATGAAAATTTTGAAAAATCTGAAATCATTGAACAAACGTTAGTACAACTATTTACTTGAAAAATAATCAAAGGTAAATAAATGAAATCGAATAAATAAATTAAAATTTAAATTTAAAATTTTCGCATAAAAAAGACAACCGAAAATTAATTCTGGCTTGACTCACTTATATTTCCCCAGCGGAGTCGCCAGGCTGTCGTAACCGTCTTTCGGTTGGGCCCCGGAATTGGGCTTCGACTTGAAAAATGTGGATTGGAGTCGCCACCGACCATTTTAAAACGAATTTAGGTGGGTTGGACACCATCTTACCTGATCTGCGTTTTTACCATAAATGTGTCGAGTTCGGGAGTCGGTTACGGTCAAGGAAGGATTAGCACCCTTGAACCGCCCTTTCGGTACCAATTAATTTGCCTGCTGTCTTAGTTGCGAAAATTCGAAATTAAAATTAAAATTTAACAGGCCCGATTCGAATAGTTACCTTTGATCGATTGAAAATATCCCTAAAAAATTAAAAGTATTATAAAAAATATCATAACTATATAATCCTACATCTACCCTAGAAATAATAACGATAAACCACATGTATTATTGATGGAAATCATATACACTACCATGCAAAAAAAATAAAAAATGATATATATATATATATATATATATATATATATATATATATATATTAAAGGCATAATGCACGGAAGAAGGGAATATGAAATGCACAATGCAAACAACTAACCTGCAAAATAATTATAATAATATATATATATAATATGAAATGTACGCACGAAAAATGTTAATATTATATGAAAACGAAATCAATAATAAAATATATAAGATGTGTACAATCCTTTAAATGCATACAACACAAAATAACAATAATGGCCCACTTTGTTATAGTGCAATCGGGAGAGGAGTAAGACATAAGGCTCCCTAGATGCTTGGCAGTGAACTTTGAACATCTTTCATGGGTTCAGGCCCTCGGGTATACACTGGTCTCCAGCACATACTCGTAAAGATCATCGCTTTGCAAGAGGCTCTTGTGGTCGACCTCCTGGTGCCTACCCGCTAAGTCCGACAGCCTTCTTGACCACACCATGAAGATCTGGCTTGAATCACGTCTGATCGGGTTGATATGGTACCTGGTAAGTCTGCCATCATTCAACTTGTCTCTCATACCCATTGACGCCATTCCCACACCACTCTTAGTTGTCCTGTATGCAACTCTCGTACAGAGGAAGACAAAAGCAGCAGCGGCGCCGAGGAAACCAAAAAAAAGCACCGCTTCATTGCCGCTGAAAGCAGAAACCATTGTGGATCTGGAACGATGACGTTTAGGTTGAGGACCAGGGGAAAACGAGTCAATGACTCCGAGAACTCCCTCTTCGGTTTGGTTCGAGCAGAGTATTTATTTCAGAGATTGGGCTTTTGGTCTTTGCTGGCTTCGATACTGCTCCCCTCTTGCTTTTCGATTTGTTTTTTTTTCGATGGGTTCGAATCTCACCACCGTTTTTGCTCGGTATTCCTCCTTTGTATCCCCCAGTAATCGTGTATTTGCTTTCTCCTCTTTTTCTTTTTTTTTTCCTCGTGTCTTGATACATGGGTATTTATAGGATTATGTGAATCCTATTTTTTTTAGGAGTTTACATCCTAATGAAATACTAACATTTGGTTCGTTCGTGTTTGTTGGTGACTCTCTACGCTCGTCGGACGGTTCGGGGTTGGAGTCCTATTATCTCACGATGCTTGTTACCGAGAAGAATGGGGGAGGCGTGAAACTCGGTCTGTTGGAACTGCCGCGCGAAGCTGTGGGGGGATCTGCTAGGGTTCTGGAAACTAGCTTGGTTCGTGGGTCCAATGCTGCTTCGGGCCATTTATTCCTTCTTGGGCCACTGGTTTAAGTTGTAGGGCACCTTCACTTGGGCTTGTAATATGTAAACAATAAAAGTAAATAACATTAATACATATATATATATATATATATATATATTATAAAAATGCAGAGACGAAATTATGTGTCTACATATATACCAGATGAAAAAAAAAGGCATTTTACTTTTCATGGTGCTCAAAATCAAATTCGTTTGGTTATAGGGTTGAATGATTGTGTAAATGAGGCTCAAAATCAAATTCGTTTTGTTCTAGTCAGCATTTTAACTCATACTTGTGCAAGGGAACCAATCGTGGTGTGATTTTTGGTCGAACTTGGCTTTGAATTTGAATGATAATGTGTTTTAGTTCAAACGTTCGGACTATATTATTATTGAAAGGAACAGTTACGAACGTTCAAAAAATTATTCTTTTATGGGTCATGAAATGAGTTCGAAGGCCATGGTTTCAAAGGTCAACAATCTTAAGAGGATATGATTAAAAAATCTCAATTCACACTCTTTTTTCTTGGTTGTTCTCATTCCTTCTCCCCTAAGTAGGAATTATTTTAAAAAAAGTATAAATTTAATTATTATTTATTGTTTATTTATTGTTTATTTTTTATTTTATAATTTTTAATAAAATAATCTCATATAATTGAGAAATTATTTTATAATTTTTAATAATGGATGGATTGAAGAACACAGTATCCTATAATCAGAATATAAATTGTTTACTTTAAGCTTAATATAATCAACTTTGTTATGGCTACTTAAAAACCAGAAAGCTCCTTCCTTTCGCTTGCTCCGTTCTGACTTTGCCCGATTCTCGCGCGTTGAATATCTTATCCCTTCTCACCTCGTTTCACTCCAAATGACTTTACTGGCAACGTTTTCAAATCTCTCTTCTCCAAAAGCCCATTGTGATTTTTTTTATTCTTTTCTCTTTGTTTTGAAATCAAATAAAACAGGACAAATTGAAGATGCCAAGGAATGAACCTGATGAAGTCAAAGCACCCAAAGTCGAAGTTCCATTTTACTGGCTCGAAACCTCTGATTCCGTTACTCGTCGTTACGAATTTGAACCCCACGGCTACCTCTCCGTGAGTGTTATCTTTTTAACTTTAATCTGCCATTCAGACAATTTTACAAACACTAGGTCTGCGAATTTAAGCTCTCCCCCCCATATGAACGAGTAATGTTGTTACTTTCGATTCTTCTTTTGGGAAGTTCATAATTTTTTTTGGCTGCAGGTGAAGGTGGTTAATGATTCAAGACCAGCATGCCATAGGGTGGTTGAATCTTTCCTGAACAAGTTTTTTCCCTCGGGATATCCTTATAGGTAAAATCCTTTTTATTTCTATTTGTTTACTCGTTGAAGTTATGACATTGGAACCATCCTGAGTATATAATTATTAATTTTTATGGTGTTTGGTTTGAACAGTGTGAATGAAGGTTACCTTATATACACACAGTTTCGGGCATTGCAACATTTGACCGGTGCAGCATTATCCGTTTTATCAACTCAGGTCTCCTTCTCATACCTACAAGGACTCTGCAAATTTCTTAAAAGTAGTTTGTAGGTGGTGCCAAAATTTGCAAACAATGAGGTGTGGGGGGAAGCAGGGAATGATTTGTTTATTTTCGGATGTGAAGAATTTTAGTTGATATTTTCGAATGTGGCTACCAGCATAACATATCAGTTCATTTCGTTACATTCTCACTCCTTTGCAGTCGCTTTTATTTGCCACAGGCTTGCGACCTACCCCTGCACAGGCAACTGCGGTTAGCTGGGTAAACTTTTATTTTTTGTTGAAGAATTCATATCAAATATGTGATCCAATCTGTACTCTGTTTAGAAGTTTTCTGTTTGTTTTATTGATGAGAAGATATTGAAAGATGCAATGCAACATGTGGGAAAGCTCATATGTAGTAATATGGGTGCAAAAATGGATTCAGAACCGAAACGTTGGAGAATTTTGGGTTTGTATTCTTGTTTCACCTTTTGCTGAATGTCAACCACTCTTCACTTGATGCTGCCCATGTCGTATTGAATGTTCGAACGAGCAAGTCTTTGATATTGCAGCTGATGTGCTCTTTGATTTGGGTACCGGTTTGGAAGTTCTTTCGCCGTTATGTCCACACCTTTTTCTTGAAGTAGCAGGGCTCGGTAATTTTGCAAAGGTAAAATCTTTGTGATTAATTTGCTTCAAAATGTTTCCTTTTTTCGGACTCTAAGAAGAGCATTATACAACTACATGCTAAATGCTACCGTATTTTGTTGAATTTATCTATATGAAGGGAATGGCAGTTGTTGCTGCAAGAGCAACTCGATTACCAATATATTCTTCATTTGCCAAAGAAGGGAATCTTAGTGACCTATTTGCAAAAGGAGAGGCCATATCAACACTTTTCAATGTTGTTGGAATGGGAGTTGGGATTCAGTTGGCATCTACCGTTTGTTCATCAATGCAAGGGAAGGTATTAAGATTGTAACGTCTCTGATTTTTATCCTCTCGATCGCATTTCATTATACATTTGTGTGTCATTTCTGGCAATTGGGATTGCTGATAATAACAAGGAATTGAAGATGATTGCGGGGCCTCTTCTTTCCGTTGTACATGTGTGGAGTGTCGTTGAAGAAATGCGAGCTGTTCCAATCAATACATTGAATCCTCAGAGGACTGCCATGATTGTGGCTGATTTTCTAAAGGTTTGATCCCAGAACTTACATGCATGCAAAGTTTTTTCATCTGTCTGATTTTCGAATTGGACTCTTCTCAGACTGGAAAGGTATCTAGTCCTGCTGATCTCAGATACCGGGAAGATCTCCTATTTCCCGGACGCCTAATCAAAGATGCTGGGAATGTGAAAGTGGGAAGAGCTTTGCACCAAGTTTTCAAGCCTTCGAAGATTCAGGAATGGAAAGAAATATTCCCTGAAGAGAAATTTGTTTTGAGTTGGGGAAATAAGTGGACTGACATGTTGTTAGAACATAATGCTACCGGAGAAGATGCACTAAGAGGTTGGCTCGTTGCTGTGTATGCTGCAAGCATGGAGACATCCTTCCATGAGCCAAGTGCCGGCGCTTTGCAAGATGCTTATGACAATATGAACAGAGTCTTCCCTCGATTCCTATGCGAGCTACAGGCTAAAGGTTGGCACACCGATCGTTTTCTTGATGGAATGGGAAGCCGTTTTGCGTTTTGATATTTCATTGTTCTCACATCGCTCTACACCAAGAGAATATATATTCATTTGTTGAAGCTAAGCTGTAAAAGAGATTATGCGTTTTCAGAAATAGCATTGCATTTGTTTTATATAGAAAGTGATATACTTGTAACTAGTGGTATAAATGAGACATTAATATTTGTAAATTATTCGAGATTGATTCAATAAAAAACTCAAATTCATTTCAATAATAATGGAACTGAGCTCAAGCCTATCGATCAAGCCATATTTGAGCTCCGTAATATCCTACTTCATTGGCTCGTAAGCCCAATCAAATTTGAGCTCCGTAATATCTTACCTGAAAAATGAGATTGTTGCGAGTGATACTGCTGTAACAAGAAGTCGATCAATGGCTCGAAGGGTGTTGCGCAATATGGCTGCTGTTGGGGGAGTATTGCAAGATGCTTTTGGTTTCAATCGAAGCCTTTGCATATGTTCGGTATTGATGCCAGAGTTACGGTTGATACATGATACCCTGTCCTATGCTTGGAACCTTGGATTCAGGAAAATCAAAGTGGAAACTGACTGTACAACGGCATTGGAGATCCTTAATCGACGATCAAATGTGGGAGATGGTAATACGATTGTCACCTTGATTCGTGAAATGTTGAATAGAGACTGGAAACAAAAGTTAGTCGCATTTTTTGCAAGGCAAATAGGGTAGTAGATAAACTAGCTAAATTGGCTAGGAGATGTCCGATAGGGGTGGAGATTCATCAAGTTCCTCCTAATGAGGTTGCTGTTATAACCGATCAAGACCAAGCCTCCATGGACAAGTTTTGCGGTTGTTCTGTATTATCGGGGGGGGGGGGGAATTACAGAAACATTCTCATTTTGCTTGCAAAGGATACTTACAAATAAGTTTAATCGAGCTTGGGTAAAAAATTGGCGCTTGAACTAGTTGAATTATATCTCGAGAGCTTATATATTGATGTTTGATCGGCTTGAACTCTGGTAGCTTAATTATATCATGAAAATAGACAAACCCGTCAACAGCAAAAAAGCACATGAATGCAATTAAAAAAGAAAAATATTATTTTATCAAATTTAGAAATTGGATACAGTTCATATACCAAAGGGGTATTTAACCCTAATTTAATTAATTCCATATTGAATTTATTTGACTAGTAAATACAGTAATTTTTTTCTAAAAGTAAATAGAACTGCATTTTATGTTCTCTTTATAATTCTACTATTACAATTGATTTAATTAATAACATTCTAATGCAACATGTTATCTTAATTCACTTTTACCTTTCTTCCCCTATAAGACCATATTTGCAATAACACTTCAATATTAATATTATGCAAATAAAATCCAGACCCATTACATAAATCAAACATCTACCAAAAAGATGCATGCAAAAGCAGAGCTCTTCTATGCTTTGCATCAATTTTCAACTCAAACTATCAATCGACTCTTAAAAGATTGCAATAACTAATACTAGAAAACACCATCGATCATACTTTGTTTTGCCATGACAAATCACATAATGTGGCATAAGTCTATTACCTACATCAATCGAATGGCAGACGGGCCAGATATAGCAGCGACTTTCTGAGCTTGCTGGGTTTCATTCCGGTACAGTTCTTTCATCGCCTTTTTCATTTTACGTGCTTCACTTCGTTCCATTTTGACAGCGAGCTGAAAACACGATTCATCCATTCAAAGCGGTAAACATGCATGATGATGTGAATGATTAAACATCATTTCAAAGAAATCAACACGTTATCAAGCAGGTAGGGTTGAACACATTCAAGCACACATGCAAATAGATACAATACCTTCCGTTCTTTCTTTTCCTCCTTCGTCTCCTGACCGTGTTGCTTTCTCTTAATCTGTTCGGGCCTTTATGCTACCTGCAATCTTGACTTTTTCTGTAGTAGCCTTTCTGCTATTAGGTAAAAAGTCTACCGGAAGCTTTTCTTTTCCCCTGAGGGCTATCACCTGACTTTTGGCACTCAAAGCTGCGGAAACAGTTTCGGCCAACTTCTTTTTCCTAGAACCTGCCGGAGCTTCAATTTTTCCTGGGTGGTTTTCAAGAGTCGAATATGTGGAAATGATACTCTCACAATCGAATTGTTCCGATTCATCACTGCTTTCCTCCACGATAATCTCTTTTTCATCTTCACTTTCATTTTCATACTTTTTGGCATATTCAGCACAACGACGCATGATATCAGGAGCAGGAGCTTTATACTCATCATCCAGCTCCAAATCATCCATGTCATTCTCATTTAGAACATTTTTTAGCTTGTCTGCCAGTAAGTCGTCTTCTTCAGCCATGTTATCCTCACAATCATCATCATAATCGGAGCCATATTCTTGAAGTTCAAGCTACCATAACCAGAGAATTCAATAAAATTATCAGTACTGTGCTGTTGAAGTTCAATCCAAAGGAAGCAAGCAGATGGTAAAACCTTCAGATAACATTTTAATCAAGCAAACTACAGTAAACAAATTCGACATAACTTCGATTTCTCTAAATAAACCTCCTAAATTGAAAGGAATTCTTCAATTCCAATAAGTTCTAAACACAAAAATTACAAACAAAGAAAAAACAAAATAGATTGATGTTTCTCTAAAAAAGGACTCACAATGTCAAACTGCTCATCCAAAAGACGCCGGGCACGTGGTTTTTCTTCCGCTTGATAGTTCCTTGTTTCACTTGCAATCTCTTGATTAATGGGTTCCAAATCAGTATTCATAACACCTTCATTAATAAACTCAGATTCTTCAACAAAACTCAACTTCTTATCACCCTCGTCACCCTCTCCTCCTTCACCGGTGTTTGCTCTAACAACAAAATCCTCTTCCAAATCCTCGACATCAGATCCAAACCGTGACAAATCACTATCATCAAGCAGTGCAGCCACTTCAGGGTCAAACACTTTGTTCATCCTAGCATTAAGTGTATTTGAAGCAACACTGTAAATGGATTTCTCATTATAGTTCCCTTTTGAATTCGATATTTGCACCCTCGAAGCATCATAGGCCTAAGCATAACACACAAAAACATTAATCATGCATAAATTAATCAGAAATTACACCAAATTGTTTAAAGAAAAGGAAATGAATTGAACCAACCTTAAGATCACTAGGAAGCTGGTCGGGCTTGAACTTAGGGTTGTGATGGAAAGAAGAGCCCCCGCCAGTATTTCTAATCTCTCTCAAATGAATCAAATAATTGTAACCATCATCTGGAAAACCTAGCTCCAAAATCTCCTTACGGACATTCTCCGGCAATTCGCCCTTATCGTACACGGCCGCACGAGAGGAGCTTCCCAACACTCTGTCATAATCATCGCCGCCTCCGTCATTGTCATTAGGAGCATCGGCGAATATAGAGTCCTCGTTATCGCATTGGCAGTCGTCATAGCAATTGTTATCTTCGTCAAAGACAGCGTCGAAGGAGACGGGGTTGGTGTCAACTCGGACGAAGACTCGATCATTACCAGGTGTGTCACTATAAAATGGATCGGAAGTGTCTCGGGCGAGTAGTTGAAACGTCGCCGATTTCTTTTTATCGATGAATTTCTTCTTGCCCATTACAAGGTATATTATTCAGGCACTGCAAAATTCAACGGAATAAATAGAGATGATAGATTTATCAGTGCATTATAAACCCTAGTTCTTTAGTAGGTTATCATAAACCCACAATCTGGAATCAGTAAGGTCAAAGCATGGGTTGGACCTAAGCCGAACTACCAAGTCCATGATACAACAACAATGGTTACAAATATAGTAAGCCCATATAATTAAAAATATCAAATTTTATCGTGAACTTAATAAATATGACAGGAATACCGACAATCAGTTGGTCTAGTGGATGAGACACTAAGTTCCTTAAGTAAGATTAGGGGTTTGAATCCTGACGTTTGCGAATGGAGTAAATTGGATTGAGATGATCGCCCTCGCCTCTGCAGTACCCGATCTAGATTAGTCGGTCGGTCAATAGATCGGATATCAATGATTAATTAAAAAAATGATAAGAATGAACATGAGTTGATCAAGTGTTTAACTTTCTCAATTTAAATTCAAGTATTATATCATTTATCATCACCGGACTTGACTTGATCTGGATTTATAAAAATTTAAAAATATATTAAGTTTTTAAGATAAAAACTCACACGGCCTATGACTCGTATTCATATTACAAATTCTTAGTACTATCGGTAATAGTATTATTGATGATATCATATCACCGACTCAAGATAATGTTCTTTGCTCAACCATGAGAATAAGATTTCGAAATGTAAAATTATCCCTTATTAATGCCTTTTGATTTGATCACTCAAATATGTTGAAGACTTACAATTTAGTCACTACCATAATTGAGATCGATTTTAAATTGGATCACTGACATTATTTAAATTGATTTCTTTTAGTCATTTATCTATTATATCTCTAATAGGATGTTCACATTAATTTGTTATAAGACCTGTCCACGTGAACACGCCATATGGATTTGAATCCATGAAACGAAAAATACAGGAAAAATTTTATTTCTACGAGAATTTGAAACATGGTTGCATATACCAAGCTCAATACAATACAGTAAAATATCTGAAATTCATACCGGTTATAGTCTCAGGCTCTCAGCTTCGAGCAGGCAAAGGTTACGACAATCGACCGTCGGACAATCATTCAATGACTAATAGCAGAGCAGAAGTGTATCCTATTATTCAATAACACAAGCTTCCAGCTTTCATACATGAGAATCCTACTGAAGAAGAGCACTTGGGTTTGGCTTTGGCTCAGAGGAGCATAGCATTAAAGCTTCATTCTCTCTAAGGCCGCAAGGGTAATGGAAATCACACCAGATGGTGAAACTAAAGCATCCACCAGTACATCATTCGGGGTGACCGGTATTACTTCTTCATCCATTATCTGCACGGAATAAGACAGTGCAACGAAGAGTGGGTGCCTCCAATCCTTTTCCTTGGCAAGCTCTTTGTACTTCGTCAAGAAAGTATCATAATATCCCCCGCCACGGCCTAATCGTCTTCCTGATCTGTCAAAAGCAAGCCCGGGCAGAATGAACAAATCAACTGGATCACTCACACACATCACATCTTCATGATCGTATCCATCGGCATCAACTGAAGCAGGTTCCAAAATGTTCATGGAATTCGCAACTAAATCATCTATTCGTAATATATTGAACATTCTCATGTTACTATTCTTGTCCTCTACACGAGGAACGTAAAGTGTTTTTGTAGTCTGAGGCATACTACTACCATCTGAGGCCGAGGGTGGATTGTGCAGAATTTGAGATAACAATTTAGAGGTATCGAGTATCGACTTCTCGCAATGCGCTGCAGCTTATAAAGGCACATAATCTCTTACTTGATTTGAACCATGGAGCTTCCAAAACCATACTCTGGATTATATCATCTTCTTGGGATCGGAGGGGCGGATCCATCGACTTGAGGGCTTGACGAACTTTGGTGTGGAGGATCCGTTTTTTGCTTGAAAACGGATTCAGGATTGTCTGGTTCATGATTGTTGTTGGACATAGCTGGCTGGCTACTGGTAAAATTACATAGACAATTAAGTTGACAAGAAGACTAATGTAATCGAAGATATTATTTAAAAAAAATAAAAATGAAAAACAAATCATCAATGATTTTACAGAAAAACTAAAATAACTATAATGATTCACCAATTTGATGCATTGACTGGAGTTCTAAAAATAACTATGATGCTTAATCCTTTCAGAACTTTACCAAAATGATAATTTGCCTAATTAATCCTTTTTTATCTTCAGCTTCCAGCTCGCATTTTCCAGCTACCACTAATTTAAAAATTAATAAATTCCATTGAGGATTAAGCATGCAGATGCAGTAAAGATCTAACTGTTCCCGAAGTATCATTAAAAAAGCCGAGTATAATTTTGTCTTATGCTATAAGATTGATCTAATAGATGTACGTGGGAAAAGAAAACTTACAGTGGCGATCGATGTGGTTTAATTTCAGTTGCTGTACTGTGGGCGGAGCAACCGAGCAAGCAAGCCAAGGGCAAGGGAGGCGCGGCCGTGGGCGGAGGCTAAGCAGCGCAGAGTCTAGAAGGAATAACATAATTAAAGGGTATCATCTTGTATATAAATCAATAGTTAGTTAGGGTTTGATCTATAAAATAATAAGCATTGATTGTGGATGAAATACCAAATGTATTAAAGACAAATTTTTATTAGGGATAAATTTTAAAAATTAAATTAGTTTAGAAATTTCATATAAAATAACACATAAATTAAGACTCTTAATAATTTAATAAAAATCATTTAATTTTTTTCTTCATAAAACCAACGTACTTGTAATTTTATTTTTAAAAAACCATAAATTTATTTTTTTTAAATAAAAAAATGAGAACCAATGTTTTAAGAACAAATCAAAATAACCAATTCAAACAAAATTATTTTGAAGTAGTTTAAAAATAGATCAAATTGGAATTAAAAAAACTTAACTAGTTTATAAATAAATATTTTCAAATAATTAAAGTATGGTATCAAAATATGTAAAGTCTAAGATTAAATTGTCAAATTTTATATAATATAGGGAGTAAAGTCAAATTTAGACCAAAAATATATTACAAAATTTATCAAAAATATGAAAGCTAATAAAAGAGGGACAAAATGAGGAGGAGCTTTAAACAAAAGGCCTTTGTAACAAGAAATTCTAAGACGCAGAATAAACCAACAAAACAGTGTACGTAGCAAACTCGGCAATGGTTCCTTGGTCGACTTGGTGTCGGTACATAGTTCACAAGCTCGAGTATTCATTCTCTCATAGCTGGAAGGTCCAATCTTCATTACCTTATATCTTCTCATTTTTCTATCGCTTTTGCTTTTTCTTTTGATTTGATTTTATCGTCATTTTAGGTTTTCTTGTGCGTGCGTGTGTATGTGTGCGAAAATTTATGATTTTGGAGCATATGATATGTTTTTTTTTCGTCTTTTTTTTAACGATTTTCGGGGTTTGAGGTATTTTGATAGCTGACTTTTTTGGGTAAAGGTTTAGATTCTTCTTTATTGTTTTGGGGGATTTGGGTAGTTTTTTATGTTTTCAATTTGTTCTTTTAGTGCATGAGTTTTTTTTTTTTTGTTTGGCGGGGGGGGGGGATTAGTGTTTGAATCTAAGTTTATTTGTGACAAAGAGACTTCAAGTTTTACTACCTCAAGACAAACCTAGAATTTTATGCACTTTGTCAGTCATGTAATTTTTCATATCAATACAACTTCTTACTAAAAAATGTTGAAAACTTGAAGAGGATTAGATGAATATTTTTAAATATAAAAATGTTTATCAGCATTATTTGTAAAATCTCCATGCTTAACTTATGATGCAGATTGAAGTGCTACTTTTGTTGATAATGAAATTTTTAAAAGTTTAGACTGCTTCTGTGGTTGGCTTATGCTCCCGCCTTTCGTTTTGTTCTACTGCATAAACTTTACTGGTTTCAGAAATGCAGAATTTAGGATAGGCCTTTGCTTGCTATTATTCTTTATATTATCGTAACAGAAGTCTTCACATTCAACAGAGCTATAAGAGAGGTCAAATCAATGACCGGGAATTACAAGATGCAGTCTGGAAAAATTTGTTTCAGGGAAAATTGACTTACTTACACTGGAATAAAGGAAAGGCAATGGCCCCAACTATTGGAGAGCAACAAAGTACTCTTCTTGTTCGGAAGATTCCAATCGCTGACCCAAAGTGATTCACCTTTCTCTCTCTTTCCTTGGAGTGAACAATTTCTCTCTTTTCAAACTCTGCAACATTTTCAGATTGCTATCCTTGGGAAGGTTTCCTAAAAATTCACTATACCGTGAAAACATAAATGTGCAAGTTCTTCTTGCATCTGAGAAAAAAGTTGTGGTTTTGTAACTCTGGTTGTGTTGGTCCTCTGCAAACTGCAACGAGTATTCAAGAATCTGTGCATATATACGTTTTTCACCTAACCTCTGTGAAAGATTGTACTGTTCATTTAAGTTTAATTTTTATCCATTATAATTTGTAAATTTGCATGTCATGCTCTAATGTGAAGATATATGCATGTATGTACATATTATGCGACTTACAGATGTCTCTCAATGAGTCATGAATCAATGTGATCTAAACAGAACATTTTTATGTAATTTTCATGTTCATTTAACTTTATGCATAATTTTTGGACAGTCGAGTTTTTCTTGGAGATGTCGTTGTCTTGAAGGACCCTGACAATTCAGAAAACTATCTGGTCAGAAGATTGGCTGCCACGGAAGGATATGAAATGGTGTCAAAGGATGAAAAAGATGAGTCATTTGTTCTTGAAAAGGACCAATGCTGGGTATTGGCTGACAACGAAAAATTGAAGCCCAAGGTATAAAATATAAGTAATACAGCTGAGAAAAGTTTTAATTGCTATCTTATACAAAATCTATATTATATTAAGATGTCGAGGAACAGAAAACAGAACCTAGTTCATGATCTTGATTCTAGAGGCTGTTTATCTCTTTACTATTGTGAGCCAAGTTCTTTAATCATATTTGTCTGAGTAATGAATAACATAATTTCCCTTTGTTTTCTTTTTCTTCTTTTGAGATGATAGGAAGCCAAGGACAGTCGGTTATTTGGTCCAGTTTCTATGACCGACATAGTTGGCCGAGTTATATATTGTCTGCAAACTGCTGTTGATCACGGTCCTGTGCAGAACAGGTAGCTCCATTTTAGTGATTATTTGTCTCAAACGATTTGATTTTGTATCAGGCAAACTTTTCCGATTGCTGAAACTTTCGTATTCCTCGAACAGTCAGTACAGCATGCAAAAGGATTCTCCGGTGCTGGAGGTAGAGCTGGACGTTGATGATATGATGAAGAATCACAAAGCTTAAACTGCCCATCACTTGATCCCGACTCCTTTAGTGCCATCTTTATCGCCCATATTCCTCAATGGGTATCGTTTTAGTTTAACATGGAAGTGAAAGGGAAGGGAAATAAACAGAAATGATATTGGATAATTTCTTCATTATTTGCAGCTGATGAACTCAAATAGGCAGCCTGTGTTGAATTTTGAGCTTCTATTATAATGAGCAATTGGGTAAAAAATCTTCCCTTAAACTCTGTTATTGTTTCCCTAAAGAGTCTTGCAATGTTTTGTGCTCGGGCTTTTCTTTTGAATGAATGGGTCCGGTTGATGATAATATATGGTCTGAAAATGTATACATCAGGGATACTAATTGCCTTGTTCGTAGCGGCACTTTTAACCCCTGAAAAGAGAGAGAGAGAGCTGGCAAAAATGGAGTTCAGAAGCCTTAAATGATGTCCCAAAAAAAAAAAGGAGTCCCACCATCAGTTAGTAGGGTGTTCATTCGGTTAATTGGTGTCGAACCGACCGAATTAGTATTAACCGAATTAATCAAATTTTTTTTTCTTTAACCGTTAATTGAACCAAATTTTTTTTCGAAAATATTAATCAAACCGAATAAATTTTGGTTAATTCGGTTAATTTTCGAATTAACCGAAAATTTTTAAAATTTTCTAATTTATATAAAAATTAAATATTTTATAATTAAAAAAACAGTTTATAATTAATTTAAATAATATATAATTATAAAATAAAAATTTTATATAAATTTTTTAATTAATTAATATTGATTTAGGTTTAAAAGTTGTTAGATCTTAAATTATTAATTGGGTTTTAAATATTTTAGGTTGAGCCCATATGTTATATATAATATTTTTAATATTTTTAATTAAAAAAAACATTTTACAATTAATTTAAATAATATATAATTATAAAATAAAAATTTATATAAAATTTTAATTAATTAATATTGATTTAGGTTTAAAAGTTATTGGATCTTAAATTATTAATTGGGTTTTAAATTGTTTGGGCTGAGCTTATATGTTATATATAATATATTTAAAATTTTATTTCGATTAATTAACCGTTAATCGAATATCCAAAAAATCCTTAACTGTTTCCCGACCGAACTAATTCGGTGGCCGACCGAATTAACCGAATTATTTTAGTTAGTCGGTTAATTAATTTAAAACCGAATTTTGAAACCCCCTATCAGTTAGAGACGCATGATTTTTTGTTTTTGGGTGAATTTATTAAATTTTAAAAATAAAAACAATTTTTGAATATAAAAATATTTAAAATATATAAGAATTTGAAACTTTAAAAGAATATTTCTACCTGTCTCATTCGGTCTATTTCTGCTCACAAACAACTATATAGTACAACTTTATTATAGTTTCATTAGGCTAAAACCATTGAAACAACTTTTAGTAGAGATGAATGATTTGATGGTATGTCTAGAACAGGCTGTTTCACTTGGTGGCCATGGTCAACATAGATTAAAAGAATGGAATGGAATTTCTGAGGAGAAAAAGATGTGAATTACATTTTGTTGGTTTGAATATGACAAACAGAGCCTATATCTGCCATCTATCTTCTCCATTAAAAATCTCAAACGAAAATGACAGAAGAGGGATTCTTCTTCCATCCTGATGGAATCATGAAAAAGCTAGAGTTTCAACATCTACCACGCATCTCTTGCCCTAAATTTTCATTATTTTTGTTTTACTTTATTAAATATTATAGAATAATTATTCGAGGATATAAACAAAAATGGCTATCATCAACCCAAAGCTGGAATTTTTATTCTTTATATATTTCATTCATTCTTACTCACCTAACCATAACATAAGTGATATATCAATCTGATGGCAAACGTTGCAATCAAATAAAAGTTGAGATCTTTAGGGGAAAATGGAAATAAAAGACAAGGCCTTAACTTTATTTTGTCATGATTAATCTTAATTAATTCCAACTCTCCCCCTCTAATTAATTATTTTCTCAACACCCAACAAATCTTCCACCACATAGGCCCCATCTGGTTTACTCCTTTGCTTCTTTTCCCCCTATACCTTCCCTATTTGTTTTTCCAGTTTTGTTTCTTTATTTTCTTCATGCAGCTCTTTCTCTCTCTGTCATGCAGCTTTGCTGAGAAAGGGGATCAAAAAAGGAAGTGAAAGAGCTGAACTTGAAACTATTATGTTTGATGCGTAAAGGTTTAATATTTGGTTATCTTGAAGATTTTTAATCATTCGAATGCCTATCAAGATCTGTGCTTCTTTTGTTTCGCCAGCTTAAATCCATTTCAACAAAAGAGGTATGGTTTCAGTGATAGGAACAACATTTTTGCTGTGTGTTTTAAATGCTTTGCTGGTTTTTATTACATAAACTGGTGGCTATTGTCTTGGAATTGGATTTTAAGAGAAATTGGGAAATTCTCCTCCTTTTAAAGTGTGGATTTTGGGGTAGCATTCAATTATGTATATAATTGAAGATATATATATATATATATAAACCTTTATAATTTGTTTTGTGAATTTGCATAATACCCTTTTACTTCATGCTCACAAGCTTGAAATTTTGGATCTTAATACATAATTTTTTATGGTGTTGAACTTCAAACACTTATCAAGCTTTCTCCAGTTTCTAAATGAAGGGTAACGAGATTCTTTCATCATTGGAGTTTAAAAGTTCTCTATCTATGTCTCTTTCACTCCCATAACATAAGCAATAGTTTTTTCTTCCTTTTTTGATCTTCGAGATCACAATTTCTATCTGTGTATGTTTCTCATGAGGTTATTACTCAAAATCTTCTTTAACATGCCAAATCAATATCAATTAGTGGAGACCTTATCATTTATTTTATTTCATGGTATTATATTCTGTTGAAAAGCTAGCTTTCCTATATGGGAAAAATGTCAACATGGAGGCTGCCATGAATGTGTGAATAATATATTTTCTGCAACAATGGATTTGTGTTCTACCGCAGGCATTAGTCAAAAACCTTCCTTTTTTTAATACTTGAAGTCTTGAAGCCATGGGGATTGAAAATTTAACCTTGACTATTGGAACTAAGAGTCCAACAGTCTACAAATAAAACACACTATTTTTGGTCAGTCAAAAGCCTTTTTTTGTTTACACCGAATCTTATAAATTTGATATTTTGTTTGATTTTTTAATTGGAAATTTAGTCAAGAGGACTTCCTTAGATTATGAGACAAAGTCAACACAGATAATGATGCAAGCTTAAGATTTTTCAAAATGACTCCTGTACTTATGAACAGATCATGCCTGAGCAGTTTTTATACTACTTTGAATTAGATGTATATGTATATGTATTAAATTCTGTATGTTCCATTAAAATACAGGTCAATGGACACAACCTTGGTGAAATATCTTATCAACAGTATTGCTCGATTCATTCATCTTATATCATGCCAGGCAATAAAAGTTGTTCCTATCGAAAAGGAATACAGGAATATGGTTGTGGTGTTAAAACTTCTAGAACCACTGCTTGATGATGTTGTTGATTGTGAGATACCTTCGGATGAAGATCTGTGTAAAGAGTGTGAAGAGCTAGACAGGCTTGTTAATGAGGCTCGAGAATTCATGGAGAACTGGTCTCCTAAGATGAGCAAAATCCACATGGTATGTTTAATCTTAATCTTTACTGTTGGGGGATCATGCCTAAAAGAAAAAAAAGCAGTAGTGCTGGAAACAAGGATTTGTGTTTCTTGGTTCTGTTATTTATTTGTTTTTTATTATTCATGTTGGAAAACCAGTTTCCATTAATTCAGTCCAATTTAGGCGTTGTTTGTATGGACAGTGTTGCTAAATAGTACACACCATCAGCTTGAGATAGTACGAAACCATTAATAGGAAGAATGTCCAGATGCATTAATGATGGGAAATATGAGGATCTAAACTTCGCCTTCTGTAAGGTTCTGTGAAGTTTCGGTTAATTGGTAGGTTATTAAAGTTTGTAGAGGAAAACTGGAATGATTGACCGCAAGTATAACCCACTCTATTATAGATTGCAAGAAAATATATTTCTTACAAATGTAACATTTGTCAAATTTAATGGTAATAAGGACAGGTGCTAATTAGGTATTAAAATGCCATACTTTTTAGAAGAACACTCAAGTTATAAAATGGCAAAGGTAAGGCAATCCAGTTCATTATAGATTACTATAAAGTTCATATCTTTCGTCATGTTTTTTTTTTTCCTGCAATAAAATGTAGTGTGTAGTAAAATGAAAAATGAAAAAAAGAAGGTGCCAACTATCTTAATTGTTAAAGTTATTTGACGGTATACCGAGAACTCAAAACAGTGCCTTCATCCTGGGAGGGGGTAGTGTCCTAGTTCGTCCGAAAGAAAAGAAGTTTTAATGTTTGATGTTGATACATATTATGTATGCCTTTCCCTCTTGAATAAAAGAAACATGATTTTCAGGCTTCTACAACTATTCTATTTCAACCACCTTTTTTTTGTTTTGTTTTGAAACATTTACAGGTTATCCAAAGCGAGTCTTTTCTGATAAAAATGCAAAGCTCTTCGCTAAAGATATGTTACATATTATATAAATCATTGCAGTCATCACCATTGACTTCAAGTATAACCAGTGTTGAGGTAAGGAAAAATCAAACATTGTTGCTTAAATAGTATATTTAGATGACAAAAGTGCTATTTGTTTTCGTTTTACAAATCTTTTGCCCTTTTAGAAATTGATAAGGCAGCTTGATGTGAACCGCTATCACTTTCTCAGGGCTGAGTTGGCTTTGAGTAGAGTGACTAGAGAGACTAATTGATGTTCAACTGTTTCAGCACTGTATCCGGGATATTAAATGTCTGAAGCAGGACAGACTATCGGAATATATAGGAGATGCTTTGAGCAGTCAAAAAGATGGTGCTATTCCTTGCGCTGATCATCTGGTGAAAGTTATCAAGTCGCTGAACCTGACGTCAAACCATGAACTCTTAAAAGAAACTGTGGCTGTGGAAAAAGAGAGAATGAATGCGCAAGCCAGCGATGTGAAAGGGAAATTAGATCAAATCTATCTGATTGTGAACCTCATCTCTCATATACGTGATTATATGCTTAAAATTGAGCGCTTTGAACCCACAAGTGGCATTTTGATACCTCCACTATTCCTTTGTCCCCTTTCATTGGAGCTGATGACGGATCCGGTTATTGTGGCTTCAGGGCAAACTTATGATAGGACCTCAATCCAAAAGTGGCTTAATAATGGACTGAGCATTTGTCCAAT